CTAATTCTTTTCTTACCGGAATTCATCATTCTTCTTTTTTAATCTTTTACCAACATAAAATGCGCAGATGACACAGTACTGGTAGTTCATTCTCCTTCTTCTACTTTTCTTCCTAGAGATTTTCTTCTTCTTTTCTTCTTCTTCTTTTCTTCTTCTTTTCTTCTTCAGACTTAATCTATGGTCATTTTAAGAGGATCCTTCTTCGAAATGCGATTCGCAGGTCAGGGACTCCTAAAATCCTTCTTCTTCTTTTTTAAATATCTTCTTCTTTTGTTTCTTCAGAGGACTGTACTTCTTTTCGACTTTGAGATCCGATCCTTCTTATTGGGATGGCCAAGGATATCTTCAAAAGCTAGGCAGCCTTATTACGAGACAGGAGGATTTCTTTGGTAACAAAAAAAAGAGTACTCCTTTTTTCTTCTTCATTTGTCTTCCTTTACGGGAAGCGAATGTTGAACTTTTCCTCAAAGATGAAGTTTTTGACTTTCTTCTTCTTATTGGTTCTACAGAAGGATGCTGAGGATATCATTTTTCTTCTTCTTTGAACAACGATAAGGTTTTGGAGACGATCTCCTTCTTCTTCTTTCCTTCTTTTTTCTTCTTTTTATATATATATATTTTTTCTTCTTTTCTTCTTATACTTAACTAATCTCTTTGGAAACTATTATTCTTCTTCTTCTACTTCAATTTCTTCTTCTATGCTGACCTTTGGCATTCCAGGTTTCGCGATTTGTTTCCGCAATTTCATAAACTGCAGAGCGTTTAATAAATTTTGTCTTTTGTTATCTCGCCCCGTAAATATACTTATATGAACAAATGATGGCGGAAATAAAAGACACAACCATTCAGGAACTGGATGTCAAGTTTATTCCTACTTAAATAAATCATAACTCTTAATAAATTATGTCTTTTTACGCTTTTCTTCCTTGAACCTTATTTCTGCCATCCTTTTAACATTCTTATTTCTTCCTGTAAGTGCTGTGTCTCTTCAGGACGTTGGCGATCATGGATCTCCACAATTTCCTGTCCTCTGTAGCTCTTGGTAATTTTTGTTTCTTTTATTATCCGTCCTGGGTATGACGATAAACTACATCCAGCAGCAAGGCCTCTGATCGAGAGCTTTTGAAGAACGTGAAAGCATCTACTACTTGCTGTTGTTCCAAGATACATCCTGACCCGGGGTGGTCCTGTCTATGGCCAAATAGTGCCCCCACGCCAACAAATTTGTAACTGGTGTAGGAATGCTCTTTTTGGAAAATCAGCATTTACAATCTTCAACTTAACCGAGCTTGGACACCGATTTCTGGAACCGGTGAGTAATGCGCAAACTCGTCTGTCCTACAAACAATCCGGGGTATGACGATAAACTTCATCCGGCAGCCAGCCTACTGATCGAGAGGTTTTGAGGAGCGTAGAACCACCTTTTTATTGTTGGTGTTCCTAGGTCTACCCTGACCCGGGAACGGTGCCGGGTGAATAACCTACATAGACTCTTCACAATTTAGCCCATACTGGAAGAATGGAAGTCGGCTTTCAGAAAATCTCGAACGGAAGTACTAGTACTGAACTGTTAACGCGTTGGCCACACAAGAATAACTCTCTCGTATATGAACCCAATGTTCAGCTCTCTCTCCCCTAAAATGTTGTCGGCATTAAATAACCCATCGAGGTGTTGATATGCCATAAAACAAAATAAACCAAACTAAACCAAAGAATACATATTCTATTCATACGAATCTATTCTAAAAATGTTGTCGGCATTAAATAACCCATTGAGGTTGATATGCCGTAAAACAAAATACACCAAACTAAAACAAAGAATATATATTCTATTCATACGAATCTATCCTAAAAATCTTGTCGGCATTAAATAACCCATAGAGGTTGATATGCCGTAAAACAAAATAAACCAAACCAATCTAAACCAAAGAATACATATTCTATTCATACGAATCTATCCTAAAAAAAAAATTTGTTACCATTAAATAACCCATAGAGGTTGATATGACGTAAAAACAAAATAAACCAAACCAATCTAAACCAAAGAATACATATTCTATTCATACGAATCTATCCTAAAAATGTTGTCACCATTAAATAACCCATAGAGGTTGATATGACGTAAAACAAAATAAACCAAACCAATCTAAACCAAAGAATACATATTCTATTCATACGAATCTATCCTAAAATTCTTGTCGGCATTAAATAACCCATAGAGGTTGATATGCCGTAAAACAAAATAAACCAAACCAATCTAAACCAAAGAATACATATTCTATTCATACGAATCTATCCTAAAAATGTTGTCACCATTAAATAACCCATAGAGGTTGATATGCCGTAAAACAAAATAAACCAAACCAATCTAAACCAAAGAATACATATTCTATTCATACGAATCTATCCTAAAAATGTTGTCACCATTAAATAACCCATAGAGGTTGATATGCCGTAAAACAAAATAAACCAAACCAATCTAAACCAAAGAATACATATTCTATTCATACGAATCTATCCTAAAAATCTTGTCGGCATTAAATAACCCATTGAGGTTGATATGCCGTAAAACAAAATAAACCAAACTAAACCAAAGAATACATATTCTATTCATACGAACCTATCCTAAAAATCTTGTCGGCATTAAATAACCAATTGAGATGTTGATATGTAGTAAACCAAAATAAACCCAAACCTCTTTTCGTTATCTCTCCTAAACTCTGTTCTGTCATCCATTTACTCAAGCTCGCTAAGTATATTATAAACTGCTTTTCTCTGTCGGTCTTGACTTGATATAACCTGTGAGTGTCAAATTTTTCAAGCCCTCTTTCCTCATTAAAAGTGTTTGATATTATCTATACCCATTTTCTGTTTCGGCATTAAAAACAAATTTCATAATTGCTCCATGTTTGGTCCATTCAATTCTCAGTATCCTTCTGTAGAACCACATTTCTGTTTTTCAAGTCTCTTCTTCATGTTCGATCCATGGTATTTCTCTCTCCTCGATGTTAAGTAAGAAAAATATTTTTGTTTCCATAAGGTTCTAAAACTTCGTCGTATTAAAAACGTGTTGGGGACATGGTATTCTCAGCATGCTAAATAGAACCACATTTCTGTTGCTTCAATTTCTCTTCTTCATGTTCCATCCATGGTATTCTCTCTCGTTGATGTTAAGTATAAGTGTCCTTTTGGTTTCCATTTTCTCTAAAACTTCGTCGTTGCTCACGTGTTGGGTCCATGGTATTCTCAGCATGCTTCTGTAGAACCACATTTCTGTTGCTTCAAGTCTCTTCTTCATGTTCCATCCATGGTATTCTCTCTTCCCGATGTTAAGTATAAGTGACCGTTTTGTTTCCATTTTCTTTAAAACTTCGTCGTTGCACACGTGTTGGGTCCATGGTATTCTCAGCATCCTTCTGTAGAAACACATTTCGGTTGCTTCAAGACTTTTCTTCATCTTTGAGAATATTGTCATTTTCTCTAGAACTTTGTCGTTGCTCACATGTTTGGTCCATAATATTCTCATCTGGGATGAGATTGTCCAGCATTCACTGCCATATAGGTGGTTTGATATTACATAGTAGTTCAGTATTCTTTTCTTTGTTTCCTGTCTCTTAATACTTTGCTTAGATTTTGGAAGGCATCTTTCGCTATCCTCATACGCCTTCGGATTCGGTTTGCCTGTTCCATTTGCTAACAACCATGCATCCTGGCAATGATGTTTAGTTCAATTCTTTTACTTCCTTGCCTTCTGCAGGAACTTCCTTTTAGCTTTTTGCTACAAACACTGTTATGATTGTGGCCGCCAAATATGAATCCTGGTAGGACTAATTATCTCAAGATCACATATTATTTCATTTAATAAATCCGGTAAAGACACATCCTTGTCTGAATATTACTGATATTTTTTCAATATTTACCAAATTCATTTTTTTCTATCCGTAGGTAGGCGGTTTACTTCCAGTCTAAGTTCTAGATTATTCTCATAACCTTCCCGAGATGCTCTCCATACAAAACGGAGCGTCAAGCAATTGGAGCCAGCTTTTCACGTCTTCAACAGCAGTGTCACGTTTGCATGAAACTATAAGCCCCCTAGACGACTATATCAGTACTCTCGTATAGAAGTGGACGGTAAACCAAAATAAAAAAAACGTGGTGGTGATTTTATGACCAGCAGTTAAATCTAAGAATTAGAATCTTCAAAGCGGCCACGCACTGAATAAATACAAGCCCCACGAGCCACTCACGATGAGTTTTAGTGTGTAAATTCTTCTCGAGGAGTTTGTAACACATCTATATATCATTTCTCAGTTGTTTTGAGCAGAGTGCGCTCAGGAGTGACTCCGTCAAAGGACAGCGTTACAACTGAGAAAAATTATACTGTGAATTGCCTAGCCCTGGGGAAGAGATGACTGAATAAATAAAAGCCCCACGAACCACTCACGATAGAGTAATACTGAATGACCTTTTAGTGTGTAAATTCCTCTCGAGGAGTTTCTAACATATATATATCATCTCTCAGTTGCGTCTCTGTTTTTCGGAAGAGTGCTCTCAGGGGTGACTCCATCAAAAAATTTCGTTAGTGTTTGATTAAAATCTGAAGACAAACGCAGCCCTGGGGAAGTGCTGCATAATATCCATTTGCCCTCAGTTTAGCATTGCGATTAAGGTGATCGTTGCTCGCACCGAGGCCAGCGACGGTTGCGTGGGCTGCGGGCATTTTTGTTCCTAGCCCGGGTGTACGTGCTCGGGTCCCCGCCTTAAAAAGACATTGTGTAACATCTCGTCTTAGTCTGGAGACAGAGTAAATATCTAGAGTTTTACTGAATAAGGCTGTAAGTACGTTCAAGGGTGTCATATTTTGGTATGGATGATGAGGCCCTAAGAAAGTGCAACAATCGCAAGCGGTAGATGTAGAGCATATGCATACAACCCGAAGTGAAATGAATGATGTTTGACTAGGAAACAAGACAGAGAAACTCTCTTCATTTGAAATCACAATGGCTGTTATTGATGATGGATGTCACCAAGTCATGGAAGTAACCAATTTTCCTAGAGAAATATCATGCAGACACTTTTCATCACCAGCGAGCATATTTTATCGAGAGATAACAAAGACAGAATTTATTAAGAGTTACAAAGGACGAGAAATTGCGGAGAACCATGATCGTCAGCGTCCTGCAATCAGGATCATTGAATAAACAAGACTATTTTCAAAATGTCAACGACCTGTTAACGTGTCGCGCACATAATGAGGAAAGAAGGCTTGGAAAATTGGGCACTCACAGGATATATTGATGATAAAGACAGAAAAAACTGCATAATCTACTTCGCGTACTCGGGTAAGTGCATGGCAGAACAGGGTTTAGGAGAGATAGCAAAAAGTTAAAATTGTGGAGAGCCATGCTCGCCAACGTCCTGACGGGACACGGAATACAGAAGAACTAATCTCGATGGTGACCACATGAAAAAGTATATCGTAGAACTTGAAACCTCTGCACAATGATTCATTGTGTAGTAATTAATGCGTTGGGTTCCTAATTGTCTCTATCTGACATTTCAGCTATTATCTGTCAGCACTCCAGATACTTTCTGAGAGACTGATCGGTTCAACTCTCTGTCTCGGACGGAATTTTTAAAAAGTTGTATACGCCGAAGGGCGAAGTCTCCTTGGGGAAAAATTTTTGAAAAAAATTGAACCTTTAAACATACGGGTTCAAATGAATACTATTTTTTGGCTGAGCCTAAAAATCTGGGAATGAAAACAATTTAAAAAAGGTCCTGATCTTGTAGCAACGATTAGATGTGTTTTCGTGGGTGGGTGGCTGAATATCTCAGCTATTATCTGTTCAAGTACGTATCTTTAGGATAATTGATGTGGTGATATTCTAAGCGCTGCATAGATGTGGCACAAGGCCGAAAGTATGGAGCACCCAGTGCGGATCGAACTCACTATTCAGTCGTATTTGTTCCAGCGTGACAAGCTTGCTAACCATTACACCAAGCCGAGGCGCCGAAATGACTTTTTAAGCGTAGTTTACAGTGGCACAAAAAAGCAATATTGCATCCAGTGAGGATCGAACCCACTATTCAGTTGTAATTGATCTAAAAAGACAAACTTGCTAACCATTACACCACCTCGACGTGATCAACGATAATTGATGTGTGTACACAATGTGTATGCTACATCTGCACTTCCGCCTAAAATAAGTTGACACATGAAATGTCAAAGGTTATGCACTCCTGTCATCTGTCATTGCAAGTGCCGCGATTTCGCTTTCCTCGAGACGAGCTAATGATATAGCCACATACCAACTAAAGTATATATCACCTGGTCACTTACGATCACCGAACTTAAGCAACGTCGAAACAGGACAGTATCTAGTTGGGTGACCGCTTCGGAATACAAAGTTCTGTAAACTTGGATGTGGGGCTGGTGTAATGGATAACTACTCGGAATTGGAAATCGGAGAACCAAGTTCCAATTCCAATCGGGTTCACTTACGCCCAAATATCTTTGCGAAAGGCATGAATCCAACTCTTCTCACTCCCAGCTATGGGTTAATTAGTATCAAGTGCGGGACTAAATAATTATTATCTCCCCACACTGCTCTCTTTTCGCCACCACAGAGAACCCTCTCTACCTCCGATCTGAATTTCTGATTCCCAGCTCCTCAAGAGCGCCTCGTTGCGCCTGCTTGGTCTCACGCTCTCTGCTGACATGAGACGGAATAAATATATTGAATCAATAGCTTCATCTACCGCAAGGAAAGTTGGCTCTCTGTGTCGTACCAAAAAGTTTTTTTCTCGTCTAAATTCATCCTTCAAATCTATAAATCAACCATCCGTCCTTGCATGGAATATTGTTGTCATATGTGGTCTGGTGCTCCTGCTATGCGTCTCGAAGTCCTCGACAAAATCCAGAAACGAATATGCAGTGTGATAGGTTCTGATCTGGCATCTAGTCTACAATCGCTATCGCCTTGGCTTCCCTCTGTCTCTTCTATAAGTATTTTCACGGCAATTGTTCCGACTAGCTACTTTCGCTGGTACCCAGACTGCATGAATTTAAGCAAGCTACCAGGCTGGCATCTCGGACCCACCCTTTCACTGTCAAAACGGTTAAATGTAACCGCCTCTTCTACTCAAATAGCTTCTTTCTCGCACTTCCCGTCTGTGGAACTCCTTTCCTCTTACTTGCTTCCCCGATGACTTCAAATATCCAAGTGTAATGTCAATCGACATCTGACACCCTGAGCTTGTTCCTCGTTCTTCTCTGTCTCCTTTCCACAAACATGCCTCTTATTCTCAATCCTCAGTAACCCCCTTGCGTGCTACTGGCACTCCCGCCTTGTTTGGGGGTGAATTGCTTTAAGAAAAATTTTACAATCTCCAAATATTTGCATGATTGCAATAATCTGAAAAGGGTCGATAAGCCTCAGAAAACGAATTAATCAATAAAAAAACATATATCTACTTAAGCCGTCTGATTTAAAACTCCAAAATTTTCCATCAGTCTCCATATAATCTTTTTTATCCTATATGCCATGATTCTTGCTAAAGTGGGGCAAGCATATCTATCTATCTATCTATCTATCTATCTATCTATCTATCTATCTATCTAAGTCTGTTAATATCTATCTATCTATCTATCTATCTATCTATCTATCTATCTATCTATCTGTTTGTCTTTGTCTATTTATATGTATCTTTATTTGTCTTTTTCTATCTATCTATCTATCTATCTATCTATCTATCTATCTATCCGCAAATTTCTATCGTTTGTAGCTGTTAGTAAAGTTGATTTTTTTTTTTGTTTTCACTATCTCCCCTAATCCCAGTTCTGGACAGCCATTGACATAAGCTCATTAGGTAGGCTATGCAACGGTTTATTTTGCATCTTTTGTATTCAATATATCCGGAGAGTGTCGAATTCTCCAAACACACTTTCTTCATTATTTGTCCAAGTCATTTCGCTTATCTCTTTCTAATTTTAAATATTAGTGTCCTATTCATTTCAGTTTTCCTTGCAATTTCCTTGTTACTCACATGTTCGGTCCATGGTATTCTCAGTATCCTCCTGTGAAGCCAAATTTCTGTTGCTTCAAGTCAGTTCTTCATCAGGAGATTGTCCAGAATTCGGTATTTATCATTTCACCCACGGGAAACGAATATGGCACAAGGCCGGTTTTATTGTGGGTTTCTCCGAGCCCGTAGGCTCGGCCAAAAAAATAGCCTTTGAAGCCGATTAGACGGGTTCAGGCCCTGTTTACCGCCCCGGACGAAACTTTGCCCTTCGGCAAAGCCTCGTCCGGGTTTCTCTCTGCTAACGCAGAGAGTTCGACAGAAGGCATGCGCAGTCAGAGACCGCTCAACACCATTCCATTGTCCAGAATTAGTGCCATATAGGAAGACCGATATTGCATAACAGTCCAGTACACTTTGTTTCTGCCGAAATTTTCCTGTTTCTTAATACTTTGCTTAACTTTTAGAAGGAAACTTTCGTTAGTAGGAAAAAAACTGAAAAAAATGTGAATAAAACTGTGTTATTCAGTAGAGTTGTTTTGGAGATCCACAAAATTTTAAGGCTTTGAGTTAAACTATTTAACTTATTAGCTGCCGTGAGCCTCATTTGGGATCTGTTAAAATTAAACTCACTACTTGTATTTACATTGAATTGCTTACATACATTGCTTTTGCAGAGGTATATTTTACAACACTTAGCCTTTAAAGTTTTTTTATTATTAGCCGTAAGAAGAAACTTTTTGTCGTAATTTTACATTTCACCGGTAGAAAAAAAATGAATATTTTGAAAAGTATTTTTTTTTATTATTTCTAATCTATGTTATTTTTTGATGTTTTATACACATATATATTTGATGTTCTAGCTTCTATAAAAACGACAATGGTAACTACTGAAATTAAACATAAGGAATAAATAAACCCCTAAGACACCTGTCAGGGCCAAAAATGCGCATTAAAAAAAAATTGGAAGTTAATGGGTTAATGAAAATGAGAGCTGTATTTTTATCACCCAATCTGCTTGGCGTTTCGTTTTTAGTCATTTCCAGATATAAACATTTGTTCAAATCTCTACAATTTTTTTTCTTTTTTCTTTTTAATTTTTATGAATACTTGGGCTTAAATACATCGTTCCCAGTCTCTAAACATATTTCAGGAACAAAGCATTTACAGATGCATTTATGTTAGCCTGAATTCATTCATGGTAGTAGATGGAAGCGAATGTTGGACAATCTCCCCACATATTAGGATAAAGCTATGGGCAGGAATGTGGTCATGCAGAAAAATAAAGAAAGACGAGCGCATTACGGGAGTCCGGCTATGGCAAACGAAGGCCTTCGACGGACTTACGCACTTACCTCGTAAGGCGCCTTACGGGCGTCCGGCGACAGCAAACGAAGGCCTTCGACGGACTTACGCACTTACCTCGTAAGGCGCATTACGGGCGTCCGGCGACAGCAAACGAAGGCCTTCGACGGACTTACGCACTTACCTCGTAAGGCGCATTACGGGCGTCCGGCGACGGCAAACGAAGGCCTTCGACGGACTTGTGGACGGACTTACCTCGTAAGGCGCATTACGGGCGTCCGGCGACAGCAAACGAAGGCCTTCGACGTTTCAGATGAATTACGCACTTACCTCGTAAGGCGTATTACGGGCGCCCGGCGACGGCAAACGAAGGTCTTCGAAATTCGGCACTACTTAGATATACCGGTCCCACGACCACTGCCGAAGCGCATTACGGGAGTCCGGCGACGGCAAACGAAGGCCTTCGACGGACTTACGCACTTACCTCGTAAGGCGCATTAAGGGCGTCCGGCGACAGCAAACGAAGGCCTTCGACGGAATTACGTACTTACCTCGTAAGGCGCATTACGGGAGTCCGGTGACGGCAAACGAAGGCCTTCGACGAACTTAGACGGGACGAGTAAACAAGGAAATCTTAAAGAAAATGGCTTGCTACCTTTCTTTTTGGCCATATTCCATGGCTATATCAAAATTGAATTTCATTTTCATGCCTTCCACTTTATTATTATTTTTTGGCCAACACTTACCGTATTTGACGGCATATAAGACGCAAGGGTGTATAAGACGCACCCCAATTTTAACAGGACAAATAAAAGAAAATTAGTAATTAGTAAAATTATTAAATGGTACAGCCTAGTCTATATTTATGAGGTATTATTTTGGCTAAACAAGCCACGATTACAATTAAACGAAAAATAATAGGAAAAAGAACTTAAAAACTTTATTATATCCAAAGGTAAGAAAACAAAATAAAATCAAGCAATTATTACAATTGAGCAAAATAGTACATATGACGTCTGTTATAGAGGAATAAAGTGTCCCTACCGACACTTGAGTTCGAACATAGATCGCCAGTGAGCAAACACAGGCGATCCCATTATTGAATTAAGTAGGCCACATGACCATCGAGGAAACGCATATATGAGAGGTTGCATGTGTCTAATCGATCGCTAGTTCTAATCTATCATCTATACTATACGGATCGCCATTTCTATTCTATTCTCTATTTCTATACGGATCGCTATTCTCTTCTCTACACTATTCTCTATATTGATCACTATAGAGATTACTATTCGGTGGTTGCTTTTCGAGCAAGTACTATTAGTGCGAGTGCTATTCGAAGGCGTCTGACACCAGTATTGTTCAACGGCATTACTACAGTTTTATCTGCGATTACAAAGGCTCTACTACAACGAGCATTACGAAAGTGACAACGAGTATTCGTTGGAATCACAAAAATGCCATAATCCCTGTGATACTAGTTCTCAGCCAAGCGTTTTTTTTTTCATGTTGGGGAACTGGGAAATCATGAGAGAAGGAAAGGTGATCAAAGCCAAAGTCACACGCAGTAACAATTGAATCCAATGACTAGTATACTATAGCTTTTTTCTGATGAGACAATATATATTTTGTGAGTTTTCCTGGGCATTTAATCTTGATAGACTTTGTAAGTGCCTCATCTAGTTGGCATAGTGCTCGCCATTGATGGTGTGGCCCTTTTGAAGATAGTCAATAAAAACAATGTCTTTAGCTTCCCCAAAACTAAGATCATCGCCTTTCCAGAAGATGAAACGACTTTGGCCTTCGTTAGAGCAGATGAGGAGGGGTGTTTCCACTGCATAGATTCTCATTTTGTCTCTGGCTCAAAGTGTTGAATACAACACTCATCTTGGGTTTGGAAACGTTCAAGAAATCCAGCTTGATCTTCCTAAAACAAAGTCATATTTTCTTGTGATTAACTTCTGGTCAGCTGTCAGAAGAGATGGCACCACCCACAAGCATAAATGGCATCATCAACATCATTGCGATACTGGTTCCCAGGCATGTGTTTTCATGTTGGGGAACAGATGATAGTCAAATCATGAGAAGAGGGAGGGTGATCAAAGCCACAGTCACAACAGCTGCTATTGAAACCAATGACTTATGCACGAGAATTTTGTCCTGATCAGACAAGACTCCTTTTGCCAGTTTTCCTGGATGTTTGGTTTTGATAGCCTTTTGTAATTGCCTCAGAAATTTGGCATAGTACTCTCTGTTTGATCTTATAGCCACTTTGGAGATAGTCAATAAACTATTTGGCATCCCCAAAAATGAGGCTGCCACCTTCTCTGCAGATGAAATGACCTCAGTCTTCTTTGGAGCAGGTAAGAAGAAGGGTGTTTCCACTGGATGGATTGGCATTTTATTTCTGGCTCTAAGTGATGGACGCAACACTCATCCTGGGTTTGGAAACGTTCAAGAAAACCAGCTGGATCGCTATTCTCTTCTCTACACTATTCTCTATATTGATCACTATACAGATTACCATTCGGTGGTAACTTTTCAAGCAAGTACTATTAGTGCGAGTGCTATTCGAAGGCGTCTGACACCAGTATTGTTCAACGGCATTACGGCAACGAATTTTATCTGCGACTAGCAGTAGAGCCCGGCGTTGCCCGGGGATGTAACAGTAAGAGATAGATCAAGTATCGACCATCATAAAGACTGAAAAATAAAATTGACAAAGATTATTGTTTAAGGTTGACGGACACGCATGTCTTAATTAGTTTTTTTTTGTTTTTGTTTTTTTTTCTGTTTTTTTTTTGTTTTTGTTTTTTTTTTACAAATTGGTCAAACTCAAACAAAAACATTGTTTTCAATCGTTATGAGTCTACTGATTGAATAGAATTTTATTATAAACAATTGTCTTGTAAATGGATTTTTAAAGCATTCTGAATGTAAAAATAAAGAAAAAAGTGTTCAAAACAATAAGAAACACTACCTGCCAAAAAAAAACGTGAAGTTTTGTTGAAATCGGTTGAAAAATGTAGGAAATCCGATCCCATATATAAACGAACACACACACACACAACCTGGGTTTTATAATAAGTATAACTCGATATGAGTTGTCCCCCTTTCATTCTCGTGATGCCTGTTAACGTGTTTTCAAATTGATTTCGTGCAAAAACAATGGTGTTTTTCCAAATTTTGGCACTGTCGGAACCACCGCAAGGTAATTTTACGTAATCCCGTGAAGTTTAGTTGAAATCGGTTGAAAAATGTAGGAAATCCGATCCAATATATAAACGTACAGACACACACACAACTTGGGTTTTATAATAAGTAAGATTACAAAGGCTCTACTACAACGAGCATTACGAAAATGACAACGAGTATTCGTTGTCATCACAAAAGTGACAAGTGACAAGTGAAAACCAGCTGGATCTGTCTAAAACAAAGTCAGATTTTCCTGTGATGAACTTTTCATCAGGTGTCAGAATATATGGCACCCCCCAGCAGAAACCTTCGTCATGCCAAGTTCATTGCGCAGAATATTCTCAACTCTCTCACGGGATATACTAATAGCATTAGCTATTTGATTTATAGTCAGTCGCCTGTCAACCATCACCTTGTGAACACAATCAACGTTTCCCTCGGTGGTAGTGGTAGATGCAGGATGTTCAGACCTTTAGGGACTCTCCTTTCTCTTCCTAAATTGCACTAACCACTTTTGCAATGTTCATAAACCTGAGGTGGCATCCTCGAAAGTCCTTATACGTACCTTTCGAAAATAAAAATAAAATTTTCGTTCTTTACTCAATTTCGCTTTTATTAAATCTACAAATGTGTCAGATGTTTCAGCATCATTATATATATATATATATATATATATATATATATATATATATATATATATATAGTTAGTTAGTTAGTTAGTTGTAAGATAGATAAACCAATATAAGTGCTCGTTGTGGTCATACAGATGCAAAGATATATATCAGTTAGTACATAAACAGTACCTTTTTTTAGTGTAGATTAAATTTTCGCTGGATTCCCAGATCTTGTGCCCTACGAGCTGGTAATCCACCGAAACTTTAGTTGTACACCAAAACGTACGTACACGTAGATGTTCTAATATATATATATATATATGATGGAGGGAGGGAGGGAAGGGAGAGAGAGAGAGAGAGAGAGATTCCCTCTATGTGGAATATAGGCCCACTGCTTCCCCACGTTCGGGTCCCAGCCTCGCAAAGCTGAGTGTTACCTGCCCTGGTTTCAATAACAAGCAATTTTTCGGAATTAAATTGTCAGTTCCACGGTCAAAAGTTGTTTATTTACATGTCGACATTTTCATATTATTTCAGTCTTTCTCTTAAGGAGCCAGTTTTATTTTGGCCCAAACCCAAAGATAAACAACTTCTCATGTAGCCACATCATATATATTCTGTGTCTGATATGTTTGTGTGTGTCTGTGTGTGTATGTGTGTCTGTGTGTGTGTGTGTGAGTGTGTGTCTGTGTGTGTGTGTGTGAGTGTGTGTCTGTGTGTGTGTGTGTATGGTCGCACACGTAGCTATCCCAGGATAAATTAATAAATCAGTAGACTGACACGTAATTATCATGATAAAACAGGACGATAATTCACCATAGGATTTTCATGAGTTCACCTAACAGAAGTCCTGGGTCTGACGATAAACTACATCCGACAGCAATGTCTCTGATCGGTGAATCAATGAAGGTGAAGATAATTCATCACCCACAAGGCCGGGTAGACTCCTTTGAACTCTATCACGATTAACAAGTGAGGACTGGGTAGCTGAAGGAAATCTTAAATCGCGAATGGTTCTGTAGATGAACAAACTTTTAAATTAATATGTGTCCAAAGTTGTCTTAATATTCACAAGCAACGAAGTTAGTAAACATTTCTCTTTTTTCGCCATATCAACCTTAAAACCAATTTTAGAGCTGCAACATCGATATTAATTTGAGACTTTGAATTTCAATTTTTTTTTTTGACAAATGACTGTTGTTTGCTTACATCTGCACAGAATGATCTATTTTTTAATGCTAACTGCGCAGATAGAGGTCGCCATTATTCGACAAATAAACCTTTACTAGTAATCAGATAGGAAAAATTTCACGATTTTCCTATATGAAATTTCTGATGAATCTTAATTCTTGCGCTAATGACTTGTCATAGTTTTATTCGACCCTGACGAGTCCTACGACAATAAAATATCTGGAGAAAGTGAATTTATCGAACTGTTAAATAATTGCGCTTAACAATTTTAACAAAATATTGCAAAAGAGCTTCTTTTATGAAAGTAGAGAAGAAACACAAATCACAAAGTTTTAACAAGGTAAGAACAGTGAGGGTACAAGAACATTTTCCAGGGAGATATCTCTCATAAAAACAAACATTTTCAGGTGAGCTTATCTGAATTGAAATAGTTTAGAATTCATTTTGAAAGTTATCTGGATACTTTGTCTTGAAGGAAACCATTTAA